AGTGTCTGCAGTATGTTTGAATGAATCAGAGGTTTGATGCAGGTAAAAACCAATAAAAGGTATTTTTGATTGCAGCTGCATAAAGGTACAGTTGCTGTACTAATGTTTTTATGTGATCAAGGAAAAAAAAACTGGACAGATATTAGTTTGTTCACCATAAGTATCAAAGTATCAGAACAGAACTCTTGCTAGATAGCAGAAATAGCCTAATGTTTATAAATCTCTTTTTTGACCATGATAAGTTAATGTTGTTCTGTGTGGGTCTGATCTGAATTGAGTTACTCTGCCTGATGCCATCTGAGAATGACACATTTCTTTAATTCATTTTATCTCAGACATGCAGTGTTTATGCATTTTACAACTTTCATTTAATCTAGCTAAACAAAAACCTACTAGCACAAAGAGAGATCAGTGGTATCTTACGTAGTTTAACTTATGAGTTCTAGTTTAATCACTGACCCCTTAATTTTTTTAATTCTTAGAGATACCGAAGGTTAGCGATTCCTCTCAGATTTAGCAGTGGTGGCTGCAGCAGTTAAGTCACATTTTAGTCTTGTTGCAGCTAAGTCTCACAGAGTTTAAGAATCTAAAGCTGCTTCTCCTTAATTATGGGCTTCTCTGCTGGGGTCTTTTCGTGGGAAGACCTTGAAGAGGAAGCCTAACTTCATGTGCCTGCTTTTATTCTGGCTGGCTGATAAGTTGTGCAGCTGCTTTTATCTGAAATTACAGAAGAGGAAGCAGGCTCATACCAGTAAGATAAACAATAAGTGTGGGTGTCTTGAGAGGGCATACTTCAGGGTGACTTTTATGGAGAGTATACTTTTTTGGAAGGTTATTGTTAATAACTAGTAGTAAGATACTAAAAAGCCATTCAAGGAGCTATACAGCCAGGAAGGAAATGCTGGTGAAATCACATCTCGGACCTGCAAGAGAGGAAGGAGAAGTGAATAAAACTATGCTTAGTGAATAGAAGAGCAGAGATCAGGAAGGTTGAAAAGAAGAAATCACTGGTCTATAAAACAACATGTGAGGACTGTTAGTGGAAGGTCTGCTTTGCACCTTGGTCTTCTACAAAAAACAGATAAGAAATCAAGAAAACCAGACACTATCTCATGCTGGTTTTGCGTTGGTTTATGAACCATGAGCCACCATGAAAGCTGATGAGACAGTTCCCCAGCCTCAGAAGACATGGCACCGATTTACCAGAGGAAACATTCCACATAAGTCTGTCAGAGCTGGAGATGTCACCTGCGCTAGAGAGTGACATTTCTTTTATATACTTTTTGGAAACCTTTAGTGAGAGCTGAGAGGCTGTCGGGAGCCAATGCTGTCCTGAGCCAATAGAATAGAAAAATGTCCATATGAATAGGTTATGCAAGTGTCATCTTTATGTGTCACTAAATTATTGTAGTGGTTATCACTGGAATGGGAAGGTAAATAATTCGGTAGTAATGTACTGACCTGTGCCAGCGATAGCATGTGCCTGTTTACGCACTTCTCTGTATTTGTCCTTGGCTGGTCAGTTTTGCATGTAGCAGCTCCCAGACCATATCTCCTGATCTACAGTTTGGAGTAACATCCCTGGGCTTGGGGGAGTTGCTGCATAGCCCAGTGTTTCTAATCTTCCTGTTAACTTTGCATCTAATGGTACAGCACAAACTATATGAATGCAAATGCTAGGATGGAACTTCTGACTGTGGCTGGTGCAGATTGTCTACATTCCTGATCTATTTCTTTCTATATTAAATTGATACTGTTTTCTAGAAATGTATCATTAAATTATAGGTATCTCAAGTTGGAAGGGACCCATAAGGATCACCACGTCCAGCTTGTGTTTGGGAGAGCAAATTGCTTATTGGATAAGAATATTCAGAAAATGGAGAATTTCATTTGGGGAAACAGTAACAAACATATTTTTGCGTTTTCTAGTAATAATTGAGAATTAATTTTTATGTAATTTTTGTTATGTTTTGTTCCCTTTGTCACTTTCCAGGACTACAGTAAGAATTCTCCAAACATATTTAACAACTTTATAATATAAATTTAATTTATTAATAACAATTAATTTGGTAATGCATTGTTTTGTATTGGAAGGCATCTCTTAAAAAATAGTGCTTTCAAATTGTTTTTCATGAAGAAAATTGTTAAAGCTGATGAAGCGAGATGGGAACCATTACTTTTCTCTCGTCAGTGCACCTTACGTCATCAGAATGTTAAGCACAGACTTCCTTTGCTGTTTGCTCTTTCCAGATTTAGCATTTAAATCTGTGAAGCAGAAACTTCAGTAGCTTATTAAAATAGTTTACAGGTTGACTTTCTATTTAACTTTAGTAGAATAGCTGTCATATTTTATTAGAAAAACCCCACTGCAAAAATACTTTGCTAAAAGTCACAAATGAGAGCTGAGGGAGTGAAATGGGGTAGGTTGTGTGCAAGTGAACAGATTCTTGCTTGGGGATAGGTACAGTCATTAAGATAACCACTTCTAGTGGATGAAACAAAAATACATCCTCTCTGGAGTGACTGGAGAGAGGCAGTGTGCAACAGAAACCCCTGACTGAC